GGACTCCCACATGGCTAATCATGGTTCAAGTCCCAAACCCAGCAACTGAAAATCACACCAGGTATGTGCACATGCATGCCCAAAATCCTGAGAGGAGGATGAAGGAGAAGGGACTGTGGCATGGCCTTACCCCCTGGGGGCTATTTCTCACTTTTTCTCTCGCTCTCTCCGTCTCTCTCTCTCTCTGGCAAGCACACACGTCTATGGCGAAAACCTTAAAAAAGAAAAGGTTGGTATGAGCTAAAATGGCTGACACGAATTGAAGATTTATTACATTCTGAGTATTCTTCATGCAGTATTTCATTTTATTCCCATGACAACCCATTAAGACAAACATTATTATCATCCTTGCTTTGTGGATGAAAACTGTAGTATCTTGAGCACATTCTCACATTAGTAAGCAGCAACGGCCAGTTTTAAGCCTTGCTTGGGTCTGTTTAACTCCAAAGTCTATCTTCATAACCAAAATGACTCACACCAAAAGTCAACAGTGTCTACTTTGGGACTAGCAGTTAGTGTAATGGCTATGTCGCTGGACTCCCACGTAGTCGACTATGGTTTAAGTCTTGGACCCAGTGGCTTAAACTCACACCAGGCGCGTGCACGTGCGTGCCCAAGATCCTGAGAGGAGAATGGAGGAGAAGGGATTGCGGTGTGGCCATCCCCCCTGGGGGGTGATTTCTCACTTTCTGTCTCTCTCTCTGTCTGGCGAGTGCACGCACCCTATAGCAAAAACCTCTCAAAACAAACAAAAAAACAAAAAAAAAAAACAGTGCCTACTTTTAGGTGGAGCAATCACAAGGAACTATTTTTTATTTTATATATTTTTTATGTTTGTTTTTTATTTACTGGGTCGTTGGGAAAGTCATTTCTATGCAAAAATACGTCATGACTTTCCCAATGACCCAATAGTTCTTCCAAGAGGAGAAAGACAGAGAGAGATAAAGACATGCCCAACAGGGTCCTGGCAAGGTGACATACCCCCGACTGCAGCCAGCCCTGTCATGGGCACATACACGTCTCCATGAACCTGAGCCCTCCCCCGTGGGCTGGTCTCACAGAATGTCATGTTTTATGACTGTGCCAACGTCCAATCACCTGTTTTGTACTTTTTTGCTATTATAAAATATAACACACTTAGAAAGTTGTGCATAAAACATAAATTTGCAGCTTAGAAAACTGTAGAATAAAGCTCATGTAATCACCTCAGCGCTCCAAAGCCCTGCCTGATCGTCCCATCCTCCCTACCAGCAGGTGACCATCCTCCTCCCTGCCAAGTTGTCATGCCCCTGTCTTTCTTTAAAATCACTACCTAGTCCTGGGTCTCTAAATAACGTACTTTAATTCTGCTCTGGTTGAATGTTATATAAATGGAAGGTACAGTCTGAATTCTGTTGGGCCTGGCTCCTTTCACTCAACAATATGTTTTTAAGAAAGTAGGGACCAGCAGTTAGCGTAATGGCTATGTCACTGGACTCTCATGTAGTGGACCATGGTTCGAGTTCTGGACCCGGTGGTTTAAACTCACCGGCATGTGTGCGTGTGTGCCCAAGATCCCAAGAGGTATATATATATATATAAAAACATTAGTGTTATGTTTTAAGCCTGGGATCACACAAGACCCTTCAGAGCCTGACTCAGTTGATACCTTCAAAGCAGGATTGAACCACCTTAAAAAACAGGATTTGGGGGCCAGTAGGTGGCATAATGGTTAAGGTGCTAGATTCCCACATGGGTGACTGCAGTTAAAGTCGTGGACTTAGACTTAAGTCGGCTTGAAACTCATGCCGGGTGCATGAGTTTGTGCCTGGGATTGTGGGGTGACCAACACCCCTAAGGAGTGATTTCTCACTTTCTCTCTCCCTGTCTCTGTGTCTCCAGTGAGTGCATGAGCCCTATAAATCTAAAAAAAGGCAGAATCTGTTCCTTTCAAAGCCAGAGCCAGCAAAAGGAAGGGTCAAGGCCCATAGCTTCTCCCTATTGTCCCCACTCGCTCATGCCAGGCTCAGAGCTGCCCTTCTACCAGGCCAGCTCAACCAGCTGCAGCTAAACGGATTATCTGATTCACTGCCAAGTTTCCGATCACTGCCTGGGTCATCAGTAGTGCTCTGCACAGTGGACCCTGCAGATCTGGGTCTGAGGGAACTGGCTATGCCCCTGGGACCTACCTGGCTTCTCTCCTCATGGACAGCCCCAGATGCCTCCAACTTGGGAGATCTATGGAATACCCCTCCTTTTTCCTCCTCTTTTTCTTTTCTACCAAAAAAATATATTTTTTGATGGAAAATTTTCAAACCTATACCAAAGTGCAAAGAACAGTACAATAACCCCCTAAATAACCATTATCCAACTTCAACAATGATCTGTTTTATCTCTTATTCTTACCTGACTCTTTCTACACCCCCACCTAATTTTTTCCCTATTCTTAACGGATTTTTTTTTGGGGGGGAGAGGTTTTTGCTATAGGGCATGTGCGCTCGCCAGAAAGACAGAGAGAGACAGAGACAGAAAGTGAGAAATCACCCGACAGGGGGGATGGCCATGCTGTAATCCCTTCTCCTCCATTCTCCTCTCGGGATCTTGGGCATGCACGCACAAGCGCCCGGCATGAGTTTAAGCCATCAGGTCCAGGACTCGAACTGCGGTCAGCTACATGGGAGTCTAGCAACACAGCCATTATACTAACTGCTGGTCCTCAGTACCTCATATTTTCAAGATATATACTGAAGTACTGACAAATGATAAATCTTGAATTTGCTTCAAAATAATCCATTAAGGGATCACGCAAGACTATATTTCATTTATAAATTTGTACTTTATTGTGTACCCATAGCAGTATTCAGAATAAATAAAAATAATTATGCTGAATTTGTATTATTCTATTGTTGTGTGTTTTGTCACTTTCTGGCATTTGTCTAATGGATATGTTTTTAAAAATTATTTATTTAATTTTTTGTTATTATTTATTTTTAAAATTTGATCAGAGAGAGACAGAGAGTAAGACAAAGGGAAAATGAGAAAGCAAGCCACCAGGTCCGGGACTCAAACCATAGTCAGCCGTGTGGGAGTGCAGCACCTTAACCACCACGCCACCTGCTGGCCCCTAATGAATACTTCTTATACAGATAGAATTACGTATTGCAGTGTGGTGTTACGTGATATCTATTGAACAATACATACCCTATGGCGCCACAACACACCACAAGACAGTCACTTTAGGCTCATCTTTCATCTACCAATTAGCTTAACAATCTAGTTGTAGAAAAGGAACTCGGTTAATTCAGGAGTGCCTGTAAATAGCATTGCGACATGTTTCTCTTACGATCTTTCCTCTGAGAATGTCTGCATGTTCAGTCTCATTTACGAAAAGAGAGGAGGTCCATTCACATGTGCTGCTAAAACAGTGTTCCACAGGTTGGGATCACATGGGAGGCTCAGGATCAATTCATGGTCCAACTTAAAGCCGAGGTGCCGTGGCAAGTCCCTGTAATCCTAGCAACTGTCCAGGCTGAGACAGGAAGATCAGGAGTCAAGGCTGACCTGGGCAACAGAGCAAGCAAGTCCCTGTCTGTTCCGATCTCTCCTCACACCATAGAACGACGCTAATCTTAGCCAAAATGAGGACCCGCGACCCTACTTCTCACACTTGTGACTAAGCTCCCAGGAGCGTCCAGGAGTTGGGGGAGAGGGAGAATGTTCACTCAGGCCTCCTCGGATTCAGCTATCACCCTCACCCTCATTGCTGGTGACCGTGCAGTTGCAGCAGCTTTCCGGCTAGCTCTGTGGCCATATCCACAGCACCAAAATCATCTCACTGAGCCACACCTTTGGAGACCCTCTCGGCTTGGATTGGCTTTACCATACAGTCCTTCCTTGTTCCAGAGCCCACCCAGGAAATGGGGCAGGAGTCACTGTGACTGTTAGATTCCACAAAGCAATCTAAGCGTTTTCCGCCACATCTCCAGTCTTAACCCGGACTCGGTCAAGGGAGCAGAGTACAGGGCCGTCTCCATGAGCCACTAACACCCACGCATTTACTGGTTTTTCCTCCAACAGCCCATGAAATCTTCATAAACTTAGGGCTAAAGAACCCTTGTTCTTAGTTATCCAACACGCACTCACCTTTATCTACACCATGGGCTCCGTTTGTTGCCAGCGCTTTTGGACAAATCCTGGAGGTGTCACCCCTTTCTGTCGTGTCACATCCCTCACTATGGCTATCCCATTGCACAAGTCCAGGGACGGCTGTGCATACAACTGGGGTAGACTTATGCAGGCATGACCCGAACAGCTCTATGCCTGTCCCCAGCGGTTCGTGTGTGGCAGAGAAATGACCACCATGCGGTCTGAGTGGGGAGGGAGAGCTGATACACGGGAAGTAACATCAGTTAATGCTTCAAGAATATCATCTTGCCACTTACTGGATCTCCAGAGGGTGAGCCTAGACACTACTAGGAAGTTGGAGACAGAGGATTAAAGGTGAGCACAACCTTCCTCTCCCTGCTTTACCGTAGCTCCTCTCCAATGGCATCACCTTGGTTTACCAAAGAAAACCCCAACATGCCTCCTCTGAGCCCCAGCCAACCAGGAATCCAAGAGGATAAACTGGAGGTGTCATCAGCGTGACCTTGTGTTTCCTTCTCGGAAAGAGGGAAGCACCGGGGGCGGGCACCACGGTGTGCATGGATAAAGTCAACTCTCAATGAGCTCCCAAACACCAGCAAAAATTTGAAAAAAACCCTCTTAGAACTTACCTGGTGTCTGGTCTGTCCCCAGTTCCCAGGTTCTAAAATTCAGCCAGTTACCATGGCAGCTGCTGCCCGATTGAAATGTTCCCATTTATAGACACTGGCTGTGAGCATCTGAATCTGATAAGGCCTGGTTATCCAAGCAGGGTGTCGCTCCCCAAGACACAAAGAATGCTTCGTCTAAGAAACAGAGCCCCAGCCTCAGCACCCATTCTCCACGTGGCCACGAGCAGACGGCCCCCCAGCACTTACGGTGTCTACTGCATTAGTTCATTCACTCAGGGATATGGGGCCGCTCCTCTGTGTCAGGACAGGTACATAGCGAGCGATGCCAGGTCGCTGTGGTCACCAAGGCAGTTCAGTCGTGACAGCTGGGAAGAAAATGGAGAATTGTAACAACACAGTGTGATAAAAAGGGTGAGAACAGAAGGCACCAGACCAGGGAGAAGGATCGTCGATGTTTTCAAGGTGAAACCTAAGCTGTATCTTTTTTTTTTAAGAACTATTTATTTTCATTTTATTTATTATTATTATATTTTTAATCTGCTATAGGGTGCTTGTGCTCAGCAGACAGAGAGGCAGAGGTGGGGGGGGGGCGGGGAAAGCAAGCCACCAGGTCCAGGACTTGAACCATGAGGGAGTCTAGTGCCTTAACCACCACGCGCCTGCTGGCCAAAGCTGTATCTTAAAGGATGAGCAGAACTTACCTGGGAGAGGTGGGGAGTGGAGAGGAAGAAAGGAAAGCTGCACATGCAAAAGCTCAGAAGCTAGGACAGTCTTCAGGGCACCACAGGAGTTCCATGACTGGAGAATGAGGGTGAAAGAGGAGAAATGCAGCCTCTGGTTACTTGGCTCCCGTCCAAAATCAAACAGCCCAGGAAGTGACAGGACTAGCTAAAAGGAGGCTGTGTGTGGGGAAGGAAAGGCAGTGTACCCAGAGGAGAGCTAAAAGGGGAGAGGAAGAGACACCTTCCACAGCCCCCAAGGACCGGCAGAGCAATGGAACTGGACATCCTTCCCACCCCTCGACTCCTCTGAGAGTCACTGTTGCTTAGACCCACTGGGACATGACATTCAACTTTCAAAATGTTGCCCCTTCTAGTGGGTGAATAACACATTATTGCACACCAACCTGGGCTTGGCACTGTGCTCAGTATTCACATGCAAAATTTATTTATTGGGGTGGGGGGAAGCAGATAGTGGTTATGTCGCCGGACTCCCACATGGTCGACTGTGGTTCGAGTTCCAGACCCAGCAGCTTGAAAATCACACCAAGCACAGCCGTGCAGTGGCAGTGGAGGAAACCAGCCTAAGCCGGCTGAGCAGTAAGTCACATAAACCTTTTCTGCCAACTTCTGATTCTCCACAGAGAGCTACTTAAAGGAGGGTGAGGACATGCGAAGCCCAACACCTAGTGAGAATCCATCTACGTCTGAGGTGGGCCCGGCCCTGCTCCTTTAAGTGAAGTGCCTCTGCTCCAACCTCTCCTTCCAGCCTAACAACTAGTGAGCTTCCACACATCGAGTGTCTAGACGGGTCTAGGTGCACGGTCGTGAAACATCTGAATACTTTCAGAGTCATAGAAAACCTCAATCCCCACTGAACTACAAAAAGGGAGAAACTCATCTTCAAAAATCTAAACTTAAATCTCTTTCTGTGGATGCCATGTTGCAAAGCACAGTAGTAGAGGAGAAACTGGCGTAGAAATACCTCACAGTAAAGTGATGCATATGAACTTAAAGCTGTAGAAAAAAGTTTCATTGACAAAAGTGCTGTTTGCTTGGTGAGCATCAGGGAAATAGAATGCAGAAACACTGTGGGCCATCTCCTCTCGCATGCCTCTAATGCTCAGAATGAACTCCAAGGAAGTAGGAGGAAAAGTATAATCCATCAGATAACCAGAAAACACCACAGGGGGACCAGCAGGTGGCATGGTGGTTAAGGGCGCTGGACTCCCACATGGCTGACCACGGTTCAGGTCCTGGACCTGGCAGTTTGCTTTCTCACTTTCTCTCTATCACTCTGTCACTCTCTGATCAACTTTTTTTTAAGTAAATAAATAAATAAAGTTAAATAAAATAATTATTTACAAAAATGGGGTCATCTGAGCTGAGACCCGAGGGAAGTAAAGAAGTGAACTACGTGGAAATCTGGAGGAAGAACACCTCATACCAAGGGAACAGCTAGTGCAAACGCCTGGTGTGGGCCTGTCACTGGGGTGTGCCATCTGTGAGGCTGGGGGAGCAGAAGCGAGGGCAAAGCCAGAGCAGGAGGAGGCGAGGTCTGAGCGGCGACAGGGAGTCCCATCGTTATCATAGAAATGCCACAAAGTAGAGTACTATTCTCACATTGCAGATGAAGAAATCGAGGTTAAGGACTATGCCTAGGTCCCAACCTTTTTTTAAAGAACTATTTAATTTTTATTTATTATTATTATTTTTTAATTTTCTATAGGGTATGTATGCTCACCAGAGAAAGAAAGAGAGAAAGTGAGAAAGCAAGCTGCCAAGTGTAGGACTCAAACTGTAGTCAGTGTGGGAGTCCAGCACACCAACCACCTGCTGACTCCACTTTTCTTTCCCCAGAGGACACATGCACTCACCAGAAAGAGAATGGAAGAGAGAGAAAGAGAGAGAGAGAGAAGAGAAAGCAAGAAAACACTACCTATGGGACATGACCACACCACAATCCCTTCTCCTCCCTTTTTCCCTTTCAGGATTTTAGGCACACATGCATACACACCGAGCATGTTTTCCAAGCTGCCAGGTCCAGGACTTGAACCAAGACAGTCAGCTATGTGGATCTAGCTCATATGACCATCAAGCCATGGACTGCCCCCCATAAAAACTTTCTCTAGATTGAGCTGAGATTACAGGGTCTCTAGTCAAGGTGCTGTATATAACTTAGGTCAACACAGTTTCTGCCTTCCCAAAGTTCATCCCAAGCCCCAGCGACTCCACATTGACAAATGTAAGGGGATCCTCAAGGACTTAAGCAGAGACCCGGCTGCTATGTTTACAATAACAAGTGGCCAGAAGCAGTACCTTCTCCCCAACAGCAGAGGATCTGCATGTAAAGAAGTGACACAGGTATGCAAGGGGCATATCAAGCATGCCCATTCCAAAAGACTTTGTAGAAGAGTGTGCAGTGACATGGAAAGACAGTCAAAATATGTCATTGACACCGAGCAATACACACAGTCGGATTCCGTTTTTGTAATAAACAATGCGTAAATACATGCAGAGGCAAAGCGCTGGAAGGAAATAAGCCAGATGTCAGCAATGGCTAACCCCGGGGTGGGATGTGGGTGGTTTTTCTTCCTTTTGCTTAGTAACATTTACAACAATGAATAGAAATTATGTTTGCAGAGAAAAGGTTTGCATGTGCATACACACATGCACGCACACCCACCCACCCACAGCTGACCAGAAGGTGTCTCAGGTTGACTGACCACGACGTGTGAGCAGCTGAGCTCCTCTGGCCCCCACTCGGCTCCGCAGCATGTACAGAAAGAGAGGTTCTGCACATCCCCATTAGAATCACATTCGGGTTTGACACCCCCATAATGAGGCAGCTCCCTGGCTGGATCTGGAATATCTGGGGTATACTGGCAGCCTCACCTCGGTCCTCAGTGAAGACCTCACGACACAAAGCTGGAGGATGGGGGGCCTTGCAGCCAAGTGGTGGCAGCACGTCGGCCAGAGTGCTGGTGCATTGGGGCAATTAGCTCGACTTGTCAAAGGGCCTGCTGCTATTTTAAAAACCTTTCCAACACGTGGATTTCACAAAGGATTCCAGGAGCCTTCCATCCACCCAAGGCTTTACGAAGGCAAATGGGCCAATTAATAATCAGTGGAAAACACCCAGAACTTTAGGGAATGATGTTCCCACCCCCACCCCCACAGCCACCTCTGACTTAATTTGCTATCCTTTGTTTTGGAGATGGGAGGGGAGTGAGCCAAGCAGAACTTTATCATTCATATCCCTTTTTTTTTTTTCACCCTAAAAAATACCTGGAGTCCCTCACTAGCCGGGCTGTCAGGTGGTGGGAGGTGAGGGGAGGGGAGCATTTCAGCCTAGAGGCTTCAGAGCTAATCTGCTGGTCCTGCCACTCACCAGCATGGGATCTTGGGAGGGCTACTTCACTTCTCCGTGCCTCAGTGTCCTCATTTGTAACAACAGGGATGCCATACGTGGCCATGCTTCCAGGGCTGTTGTCTTCAGTCAAAGGTTAGCAAATCACGGCTTCAGACCGTCTGGCGCACCTCCTGCTTTGGCAATAAAGTTTTGTTGGAACACAACTGCATACACTCATTTACATATTGTCATGGCTGCCTCTGTGCTACCGTGGCAGAGTTGAGCAGCTTTGACAGAGTCTGCACGGTCCACTAAGTCCGGATTGTTTATTATCTGGTTCTTTACAGAAAATGTTGCCACTCTCACCTTGGGTCCGACTCTCAGAAGCAGAGCTTGACACGAGAACCAGGGTTCAAATGACTGCTCCAGGAAACGCTGCCAGCAGAAACCAGTCAGGGAGCAGGGGAACCGAGACGGTGAAGGAAAGGCCGAGACAGGGATGGAAGGGAGGCCAAGCTAGGGCAGGTGTCAGCCAAATCCCAGCCCCGACCGGCCCCGCCCATGGGAGCACATCCAGGTCCCTCGCAGGTGAAGTGATTCCGGTGGTCCCTGAAGAAGGCAGCAGGTGTGAGCTGGTAGAAGCGGAGTCCACAGACGCTGAGGGGGATGGCCGACACCTGTAGCAGGGATTCGAGGGGAGCCAGGCCGAGCTCTGATGGAGTTTGCCTGGGCTGTGAATGATGGTTCCCACTTAGCAAGCATTTCCAGGGACAAGACAACGTGCTCAGGACTTTCCATGTGCTGCAGTGCAGGCTCCTCGGCCCGGCCTTAGAGGTGGGAAACTGAGCATGAGGTCACACAAGTGGGCGCTCAGCCCACCCTAGAAGGCACACATTAAGAGGGAGCTGCAAGTCGGGCCACGACTGAGTCCTGGGGACCTCAGTGGTTGGAGAGGCGAGCATGTAACTGGAAGAACGTCTACCAGAGCCCCAGCCAATGTTCCTGCCAGGGAGGGCAGAGGAGGCTCTGGGAGGAACCCTGAAGGAGGAATGGGAGTTGCCAGGTGGGGGAGGAGCTTTCCACACAGGACACACACGTACAAAGGCAGGCAGCAGCCTGGCCACCTCAGGGAGTTTGGTGTTGGTGGAAGAAGGCCCAAGAGGTGGTAGGGAAGATGAGGCCCAAGGCATGGGAGGCCAATGCAGAGAACAAGTCCTCGGCGATGGCAAGCCAGGGACAATGTAGGTAGCAGTGCCACATTTGGGCTGGCCTTCAGGAAGCTTACCCTGGTTTTGATTGGGAGTACAACTTGGAGAACAGAGGCCAGAGGTGGCCAGCTGGGCGGAGCCTGCTGCAGCTGTCCGGCCGGTGAGGGCCCCAGTGGTGCAGTCCGTGGGCTGCCCACTGGTGCGGGGCAGGCTTTGCTAACTGACCTCCAGACCCAGCAGCAGGGGGAAGAGAACAGGGCGTATGCCTGATGAGCAGCTGGTGCCTGGGCACAGAGGCCTGCAGAGCGACTACCTGCAAAGGCATAAAGCCAGATGTCACCAACCCTCTGGGCACCACCTTGAGGAGCAGTCCCCCACCCCCACTGTCCTAACTGACTCCCAGATTTCCTGTCTTTCCAGTGCTGTTATCACAGAGGTTTAGACTCACATCAGGGAGAGAGGCAGCTCACTGACCTGACCTCGAAGCGCTGGGAGCCCTCAGGTGGGGATCGCAGTATTCATTACCAGCTCCTTCATCCCCTAAAGAATCTATTTATGCATTTCCTTTGGTCCCAGGCCCTGAAGCTTCCAAGCTTCATCCTTTGTGATTACAAATCTCTCTGTCTCTCTTTCTCTCTTGCACTCACACGCACACACACACACATGCACACGTTCCACAGTTCCTCCGATTCCACCACTCAGAGATTCATTCCCTTGGTCCAGCCTCCCGGGAGAAGGAGGGTGCAATACATGAAGTCACCAACACCTTAGTGCGAATTTCCTAATCAGTTTCTTCCCTCTGCAGTAACCAGGTGTCAACGTATTTGAAAGAAAGCATTTGAAGGGAAAGGTTACTGAAAAGAGATGGAATAGCAGGGGAGAAAGTGCTAGCAGGGAAGAAGCAACTCTCCTTCCCACCCCATCTTGGTCCACCTGGTGCCCTTGGTCTGTCCTATCTGGCTGGATCTGAAAAGGGCCCGATCGTACATGTCTGCAGCCCTGCCACTGTGGTGCAGAAGCAGTCAAGGACAACAAGGAAAGGAATGTGTGTTTGTGTTTCAATGGAACTTTATTTATGGACTGGCCCTCTAATGCAGCAGATAAGCACAGTGCAGAGGAAGTTGGATCTCACATGGCTGAGGGTTCAAGTCCCAGCCTTGGAGGCTTGAAAAACCATACTGGGTATGTACACATATGCCCAAGACCTTTAAGGGATGGAGAATTGGAGAAAAAAGGATTGCAGCATGCCCAGTCCCTTTGAGGGGGTGGGGAGGCTCTGTTTTGCATGCCGTTGAGCTCTGGCATTACAAAATAATAAGTTTTGGGACCAGCAGGTGGCGTGGTGGTTAAGGTGTTGGACACTCTCATATGGTCGACCATGGTTCAAGTCCCAGACCTGGTGGCTTGCTTTCTCACTTCCTCTGTGTGTGTGTTGTGGGGGGGGTATGTCCGGTCAGATTTAAATAAATGAATGAATAGATAAAATTAAAGAGATAATTCTTTCAAAATAATAAGTTTTATGGGACCAGTAGTTGGTGTAATTGTTACGTCGCTGGACTCCCACAGAGTCAGTGGTTTGAATCCCAGACCTGGTGGCTTAAAATTCAATCTAGGCACATGTACATGCATGCCCAAAATCCCAAGAGGAGAATAAAGAAGGGATTGCAGCATGGCCATCCTGCCCAGGGGATGACTTCTCTCTTTCTGTCTCTGTCTCTCCGGCGAGTGCCCACACGCTATAGCAAAAATCTCTCTAAAAAAACAGTGACTAACGGACACAGAAATTCGGATTTCATATAGTTTTCACAAAATATTATTCAGCTTTCAATTTCTTCCAACCATTTACAGGTGTAAAAGCCATGGGAGCTTGGGAACCAGCAGTTAGTGTAATGGCTAACTCCCACGTAGTTGACCACAGTTCACGTCCTGGACCCGGTGGCTTAAAACTCACACCGGGCGCATGTGCGTGCGTGCCCAAGATCCCGAGAGGAGAATGGAGGAGAAGGGATTGCGGCGTGACCATCCCCCCTGGGGGTTGATTTCTCGCTTTCTGTCTCTATGTCTCTCTCTGTCTGGCTAGCGCACGCGCCCTATAGCGGAAACCTCTCCAAAAAAAAAAAAAAGCCATGTGAGCTTGCGGGCCACACGCACGCAGGAGGTGGCTGGCTTTGTCCTCAAGCTGCAGTCGGCTGGCCCCGGCTCTCTCCCCATCTTGTCCAAAGGCCCTCTCCACAAGGACACACCCTCGGTCTTTCTCTGCTGCGCCCCATCATTGCTCCTCTTCCTCCAAGCCTAGAGGTTTTTATTTTTAAAGGCAGCCCCTTGTTCTGCGTGATTTGTCCACGATCCCTGGGGATCTGCTTTCAAGTGTGGAGGCAATGACAGGGTGACAAATGGACTGGCGTGCAGGCAAGGACCTGGCGGCTGGCTGCTGCAGAACAGCGGCCTTAGGGTTCATGCCAGCTGACGGAGATGTGAGCCCAGGCAGGTTCCATCTGCCTACCCTCTCCAGCCCACATCCATGTCTCAGGCCCCAGGGGGCCCAGCTGCCACACTTCTGGGCCACTCCTCAGGCACCTCTCCAAAACTACAAGGGTATTTATTATCATTCCTATTAACAAAAATAACAGTACTCAGGCTTGACAGTTTGGGTCAGGAACTGTGCTCCTGTCTAGGGCCAGTATTCAGCAAGGGGGCTGGGCTCCCAAAGAAGTGTTTTACATGCATTTTGTGCTCCTGAGATGTACGGCTACAGGACTATTATTGTCTTCATTCTATGGATGAGAAAACAGAGGCTAGGGAAGGTCTCCGAGCTGGCCAGGTCTGTCTGACTTGAAAGCCAACTTCTGTGTCACTGGGTTGCCCTGTCTCTAGCTCACAGCCACTCTGTAAGGTTGTCTGAAGCTCCCAGTCACTTAGATGTAGATGGAGAAATTCAGAAATTCAAGCCAAAGGCTTGGTCCACATTGAGCAGATGCACGGTGATGCTAGAAAACTCGGGCAGGCCAAGATGCTGGAACTGCCCTGCCCCATGAGAAAAACACACGCATTTCTGGATGCTTCAGAAACTGGGGTCCTGGACTGAAGGGTTGGGGCTCCAACAAGCAGTGAGAGAGAGTGGAATCTTGGTCTGTGAGCATATCGTACGTCTGATCTACAAGCAGAACTCGAGACAGGGATCCTCGGGCAGGTGCTATTGCGAGCAGGCTCTGCAGAACACCCTGAGGAGGGAGAAGATGGAGAAGGACGCCCAGCACATGGGGCAGGTCAGCTGGAGCCTGACCTCCTGACCCCACAGGGAGCGCTGGAGCAGGGACATTGCCATGTTTTCTCACCTTGAGGCAAAGGGCAAGCCTTTTTTTTTTTTTTTTTTTTTTTAAGAGATTTTTGCTACAGGACGCATGTGCTCACCAGAGAGACAGAGACAGAAAGCAAGAAATCATCCCCCCAAGGGCGATGGTCATGCTGCAGTCTCTTTTCCTCTTGGGATCTTGGGCACGCACTCACACGCACCTAGTGTGAGTTTGTTTCAAGTCTCCAGGTCCAGGACTTGAATCACGGTCGACTATATGGGAGTCCAACAACGTAACCATTATGCTATCTGCTGATCCATGGCCAGGCTTTTATGCCCCTTGTGTCCACTGCTGGCTATGGGCTGTCCCACAGGGGGGATGAGAAAGGTGACAATTCTCCAGAAAAGGTGCAGCTTTGAACCTTAGTGCTCAATGCTCACAGCAGGTGTACGGTTGGTAGTGGGGACCCAGGCAGGGCGCCATTAGCATGTAGGATGAGCAGGAGACCCAGGAGCCCCAGACATCCACAAGTGGCTCTGCAACTCCTGGGAAATCACTTTCCTATCCTCTCCTTTCCCTCTCTTCTTTCTGGATCTTCTCCTTAGTTATCCTCCAGGCTGGGCTGAGCTGGGGCTGGGCTTCTGGCTCCTCTGTCAGACCATCAGCGATCACAGCCGGA